CAAAGTTCTAGGGCTCAGTGTTTTAGTTATGTAGAAGCTAGTCGAATATCTGTATTTAACAGATGAATTAAAATGTTATTTGTATTTATTACGTTGCGTGTCATGATGCATTGTCATTTTAACATTTTATTTCATTTTTAGGTATCAAGTTCATGGAACCTCAGGTTGATCTTTCATTTCATTTCATAGTTTGCAAACATGATGCTAGCTTTGAGTCGTATTATACCTCTGTGCATAGATGTAACCTGAGTAATATTTTCATTCTTAGGCCTGTTTTGATTTCTTACTATTAATTACTTATAAATATCAATATTTTAAAAGATAATTTGTATAATTTTTGACCATATATGTAATGCCAGAGGTTATAGATAGATATCTATATTTTGTCCTTTTTTAATGTAATCTAGACAGGATTTTACATATGTCCATTTTGGAATTAGGGTTGATACTATGCCTTTTGAGTCATGCATTTGAAAAAGACAGTCATTGTCATTTTTCTATTTTGTGTTGCATACACTTAAAGTAATTGGACCCTCCTTTCATACTGACTGTCTTGAGTGGCAGACTGTCTTTCAAGGACAATAAACTTTACAAAAAACAAAGAAAAGTATTACTTCTTCATATTGTCTCTCTTTCTTGAGCATGAAGTTGTTTTGATGCACTATCTTTTCCTCTCTCTCCTCTTCTCTTCTCTCTTCTCTTCTCTCTCTCCCCCCCCCCCCTCTCTCTCTCTCCTCGTCTCTCTTTTTCCCCCTCTCTCTCTCTCCTCGTCTCTCTTTTTCCCCCTCTCTCTCTCTCTCCTCGTCTCTCTTTTTCCCTCTCTCTCTCTTCCCCCCCCCCCCCCCTCTCTCTCTCTCTCTCTCTCTCTCTCTCTCTCTCTCTCTCTCTCTTTCTCTTTCCCCCACCTCTCTCTCTCTCTCTTTCTTCCCCCCCCCCCTCTCTCTCTTTCTTCCCCCCCCCCCCCTCTTTCTCTCTCTTCCCCCCCCCCCCCTCTTTCTCTCTCTTCCCCCCCCTCTCTCTCTCTTTCTTCCCCCCCCCTCTCTCTCTCTCTTTCTTCCCCCCCCCCCCTCTCTCTCTCTCTCTTCCCCCCCCCTCTCTCTCTCTCTTTCTTCCCCCCCCCCCCCTCTCTCTCTCTCTCTTCCCCCCCCCCCCCTCTCTCTCTCTTTCTTCCCCCCCCCCCTCTCTCTTTCTTCCACCCCCCTCTCCTTCTCCCTCTCTCTCTTCCCCCTCCCCCCCTCTCTCTCTCTCTCTCTCTCTCACTCTTTTCCTCTCTCCCTCCCTCATTTCAGATTTCATCGCATCGAAGACAAAAAACTAAAAGACAAAAAAAACAGAAAAACATAAATTGTCCAGTTAAGTAGTTTTAGGTTTATTTCCTGTCAAAATAAATTGGGGAAAAAATACTAAATTGCAGTTAAGGGATTTATATTAAAAGACGTGATGCTATTGTAAAAAGAATTTTTAAAAAATGACAATGAGAGACGGTTAGCGTCTTGTGAAAGTGAAAGAATGGAATAGGGATTTAACATTGGGCATTGATATACAAGACACAAAAATAGCAGAAATGTGTATATATAAAAGATAATTTCCCTATGATTACTTGGTTAAGACGAACACAGAACCCCCAGCTAGTGAACTGAAAGTGATTAAACCAGTCGAGTGTAAGAACACCATAATGTGAGCAAGGAAATAGTGACAGAAAAGAAAGCTGTGGTAGCCAAGTTTTTTTTTTTTTTCTTTCTTTCTTTCTTTCTTTTCATTTCAAACAAACCAATGCATGAGTATTTACACCTATAATTTACCATCTTAACACATATAGGAAGAAGAAAAGGAAGAAAGCCCAAGTTACATTGGTTTGAGGGCATTAACATGCTTACCCCTTCATCAAATAGCCCCAGCAATTCAAACTCTCCCGATTCCCAGACCCCAGGCTCTCCTTTGACCACGGCTCCGAACACTGCAACAACTACCCCCTCCTCAATGTCTACTAGTACAGTATCCACCCTAGTCAACACTCAACCCCCAGAAGACATTTCTACTCCCAACATGCTCAACTTCAACACCTCTACCCCCACAACCTTCTTCATCAACTACACCATCCTCCTATATTAATACCTTACAGCCTTATTGCCCACCTCTCCATAACACTACCTCCCTCAACACTACTCCCTCTTCGACACGCCCCCGCCCTTCTACTACCCCTATCTCTACAACAATCTTAAATACTCTATTTAGCACAGCCAAATGGGACCGATTTTTTGTGATCCCTCCCACAGCTCCCTACTCTGACAACACCCTTCTCTTCCAGCAATGTCTCCAAAAACAAATAGGCAAAGTCTCTTTCTGTAGCTGACCCGACCGCTCCCGTCTCGTCACAGTAACAGCTGAAAACCAAGCTATAGCATTAGCAAATCTAACTGATCTATAGGGTAATCCCATCCTTGCAGAACCCCATCCAAACCTCAATACTTGTATCGGAGCCGTTTCTATCTCCCCAGCAAATTGCCCAATCTATGACAAAGATTGGTCAGATTGTGGAGAAGACTTACTCGCCTGTCTCACGGACCATGATGCGATATCAGTAAAATGTTACTCCATTCCTCCCAGAGGTCATCATAAGAAACCCACTAGCATTGCCAAAATAACTTTCCGTAGACATGACCTTCCCTTTAATGTTTACATAGGTGGAGAATCCCTCCCTGTCCGACCATACCGACCTCCTCCTCGTCAGTGCCAAAATTGTTGGCGTGTAGGACACCCAGCTAAACATTGCCGCTCCACAGCCAGATGCCTATGTGCCCAACCTGGTCATACTCGATCAAACTGCCCTGCACAATCACGCACATGTGCCAACTGTGGCAGCCCCCATAATGTATTTTATAGGGGCTGCCCTACCTACAAATTTGAGTCTGAGGTAGCAACTCTCAGATTTAAACTAGGACTCAATCTACGTGAAGCCAGACAGGAGGCACGTCCAACTCCCCAACCAACTCCAATGCAGAAACTTAAAAGATATTCAAGACTACGTAATCAAGTCCCAAACTGACACTCATCCACCTTCAAATTCTACAACTCCCGCTCCCTCCACACTCAAAGTGACTGCCGATATCCATCCTCCTCCTACCGATATCCCCCCTACACCCTATCCTCCTACCCCCTCCCACCATCCCCTCTATCCCTTCCACTCCCTCCTGAATACACACGTGAATCCCTTTCATCACAAGTATCCCCCTCCTCAGACCCTCCACCTCCTAATACCCCTCCTGATACAACAACACCCTCCCCCCCCTCCCCCCTCTCATTCCTTATCCCACCCTCCAGCCCCTTCCCCTTCAAATTCTCCACGTACTTCAGTCTATATCACTAAATCAACGAAAGTATAACTATCCTTCATTAGAATATTCCGCTCTCACAGACCCGACTTTCGTCATATCCTTTCCTCTTAGAGCCCATCCATTATATGCCTTCAAGAGACTTTTCGTACACATCCTCCAATACCAATCCCCAATTACCATTTTGTCTCTTCCCCACACTCCCTTTATATCTCGTACATACTTATCAAACAGAAAACACCTTATGTCATACCTCCCTTTCAAACCACTGTCCCTTGCACAGTTATTCGTATCTTTCTTCGCCGCTGGATCACAGTGATTTCAGTCTACTTCTCCCCGTCCCACCCTATTGACTTTGTTGCTTTTGAAAACTTAATTTCCCAACTTAAACCACCTTTTCTCATAGAAGGTAATTTTAACTGCCGCCACACTCTTTGGTGTGATTCTATCACCAACTCCCGTGGACGATCTCTAGAGCGCTTCCTCTCCACAGCTGACCTTATTCTAAATTCATATCGCCCCACACACTTTGATACACGCACGCAATCTTTTTCATGCATTGACCTCTCTCTATGCTCCCCTTCTCTTCATTTAGATTTCCACTGGGCAGTTCTAGAGTACTGTACCACTTCCTAAATCCCCACGCTGGGGCTTTGATAAAGCCGACTGGCGTACTTTCACTTTCTGCTACTCATATCCCTCCATCCTCTCTCTCATCCATTTCAGAAATGATACAATGTTTCACAACTACAGTCCTAAGAGTTGCCCATACAGCTATTCCTCGAACCTCAAGACCCTATACCTCCAAATGTGTTCCATGGTGGAATTCTGATTGCACTAAAGCACTTCGCTTAAAACGTGTAGCCTGGAACAGTTACTGCTACAAACGAGGTACCCCATATCAACTATCAGCGCTTATCTCCTTTAAAAGAGCATCTGTCTGTCTTCGTCGTACAATCCGGAATAGTAAAACCAATTGTTTCCTCAGTTACATCCTCTACATCCATCTCAATTGTCTGGCGCCGAATTCATAAACTATCAGGCAAACATCCCCCCCATCCAGCCCCCGTCCTCCATATTCAAGATACCTTCATCTCTGATCCTCTCCAAGTCGCTAATGAACTGGGTGATTATTTCAGCCAGGTCAGTAGTGGTTCTCACCTTTCTCTACACTTCTCTTCTGTTCAGACCATCAGGGAACGTACCCCCATAATCTTCACTCTCTCCTCTGCTGAGTCCTATAATGCTCCTTCTTCTTCCTCTGAACTCAGTGCTGCCCTACAATCGTGCCGCAACACTCGAGGGAGGGTACCCGATTTATTGGGTTTCAGGAGGGGGAAGATAAGAGCTTCTCGCCAATGAGAAGGAAAATTTCCTGATGTCCATATGTGGTTGTAAATTGTTAATAGAAAGAATAAGGAGAAAGATGGGAGTTGCTGCAACTGAAGGCCGTGACGGTATTCACTACCGTATGCTCCGGCAACTCCCATCTTCCTCCTTATCCTTTCTATTAACAATTTACAACCACATATGGACATCAGGAAATTTCCTTCTTATTGGCGAGAAGCTCTTATCTTCCCCCTCCTGAAACCCAATAAATCGGGTACCCTCCCTCAAGTGTACCATCGTACTAACTAGCTGCTTGTGCAAACTACTAGAGCGAATGGTTAACTTCCGCTTCCGCCATGTTGGAATCCCCGGCAATGAACAGGCAGATACTGTAGCACACTACGCCGCTATGTCCATATCATACCAACCACGTTTCTCACGTATCCCAGCCACGGATTATTACCCACACTTTAAGACCTTCTTGTATAATCGATGGCAATCTTTCTGGTCAAGTCTCCGCACTAATAAATTACATACTGCAAAACTATCAATCTCCTGGTCGGGTCCATTTCATCGGAACAGACATTGGGAGACGGCTCTCGCCCGCTTACGCATTGGCCACACCCGTCTAACACACTCCTATCTGATGTCACAATCCGATCCACCCCTGTGTTCCCTATGTGATGTCCCTCTGGCCTCCCGAGAGGATTCTATACAGTGACTCCTTCCACTTCAGCCTCTCAGGCACGTGCCTACTGTGATGGCTTTGGTGATAACCACAGGTAATATATAAAGTTAATGAATATTAAGAAAAGCAAGTAATATGACTAAATCAAATATTAAGAATATAAACTTTTCTTGAATTCATAATGATGCGTCATAATGTCTTCCAAATGTTTTGAATTTCACAATTCCGAGTAGCTTCCCTTTTCCCAGACTCCAAATTTTCACTGATTCATTCTCTCTCTTTATATATATATATATATA